TAAAGAGAGAGAAAAGATTGTCTTTCACATTCTTAAGCTCCATAGAATTGTGTCCATATAGCCCATGATAGCAAAACTCTACAAATTGCATTTTGTATCGGGGATCCAAGATGCACGCGCAATAGCAAGTAGAACATTGTACTCACTCCAATATTTTTCAAATTTCTTGTATATTTTGGTTGCTATTAACTTAACATATTCATCATCATCTTTCATCCCACTCTGTAAAGTACGTTGCACAACAAATACTTGAAGAAAGTAGAGATTAGCTGTTGGATAATTTGTACCGGAGAAAAGACAAGTGACATTATAGAAAGTGGCTAATAACCTCTTAACCTTCTCGGCCTTATCCCATTCTTCTTGAGATGGACAAAGTCTTGAGTAGTTGGAATCACTCAATTGCATGTGTATAAATGCACGACGATAGTATAAAGCACTCTCAAGCATTAGAAAAGTAGCATTCCATCTTGTTGGAACATCTTGCCTTAAACTCTTATTCACTTCCAAAGATTCATGAGAGACACATTCCCAAAATTTTTGTTTTCTAATTTGAGAGCCTTTTATATACTTGACGCTTTCTCGAATTTTATCAATACAACCATGGACTTCTTTTAAACCATTTTGGACAATCAAGTTGAGGATATGAGTACAACATCTAATATGAAAAAATTCTCCCTTCCCAAGAAGTGCTTCTTTCAAATTAAGTTGTTTTTTCAATAAATCAACAAAAACATCATTTGCGGAGGCATTATCAAGAGTGAAAGAAAACAACTTCTTTTTAATTTTCTAATCAACTAACAACTTATAGATCTTCTCACAAATGGCAACACCGGAATGAGGAGGTGACATATAAGAAAAGTTAAGAACCTGATTTTGTAATTTCCACTCATAATCAATGTAGTGTGCCGTGAGACAAATATATCCGTCGGTGGCTATTGATGTCCACAAATCAGAAGTCAAGTTAATTCTACCCGGAATCGATTCAAAAGCTTCTTTTAGCCTATTTTTCTCTCTTCCATAGATTTTAAGAACATCGGCTTTAACTGTATTTCTTGATATGTGTTTTATATCCTCACAAAGAAAAGAGAAGATAGCTTGAATACCTTCATACTCAACAAATTAAAATGACAAATCGTGCATAATGATGGCCGAGACTAAGGTCTCCCTAAACTTATCCGGGTCAAAATTAAATCTTGAGGAACTCGTTATAGAATCTTTTGAGTTAGATAGACCCTCAATATCTTCTCTAGTAGCTTTCTTACAAATTTGCATGTGTCTTAACATGTTCTTTGTCCCATGGTTACCTTCGGCAATATATTTGATTCTACACTTCTTACATATTGAATATTGTTTCCCACCTGGCTCTTGAATAGGGTCAAACATTTTCCAAGCTTTGGACGTTAATTTTCTTTTTCGACTTCCAACAATTATCGCTTTTGATTTTTTCTGAACAGGACTGGACATGTCTTCTAATTCTTCATTAGATGAATCTGCTTCTACATTATCGGCTATAGAATTAGACTCCATTAACTGTGATGAAAATTACATAACTACATAAGATTAATAAAATTAAATAAAATTCAACAGATAACACAAATTAACTGATTCTAAACAGAATTAACATTTGAGTATGAAGAAACTTAAGTCCGCATATAGTTCAGCAAAACAACACTTAAAAAATATTCAACTCTCAAAGAATCAGACGTCATTAACATTTCCTTTATCTACATATTCAGAGACGAAGAAAAACACAGATTGTTTTGTGTGTATATGTATGTAATATGTATGCATGCATATATGTATATGTATATGTATTACGAGACATAATTAAGACAATAAGAAAATAATAAGAAATAACCCTTCTGGATTAAAAAAGGACTTTTTTCTATTCGCAGTAATCAAAAGCTCCCAATAAAAGCGGTTGCTAGTTTGCTCTACACTCTGCAGATAAACATTTGGATCGAAATCAATTAGGAAATCATAAAAGGGTAAGAAGAAGAAACTAATAACGACAAAAGAAGTTCTTTTGGTCTGTAAATTCTGTTTGAACTCAAATGCACATTCTTCTTGGTTGGGGATGTGTATATTCATGTAACAGCCAAGTTTTTTTAATTTAGCTGGCTGGATTACTGTTATGATTAACAGTAATCCATCCTTTCTCTCTCAAAAAAAAAAAAATTTAACGACAGAAGAAGCATTATATATAAACTAGCAAGTACCTTCTTCACAGAGAAATTAGTAGAAACAAGCTATGAGAGGATACATTATGGAAAGTGAAAAATCTTGTTTCGAGTAGAAGTTCCTGAATCCCATGAGATACAATAACACATATGTTTAATTAACTTTTCTATATATGCCCAAATGATTAACATTTACAGTACTGCAACATGTGGTTAACTTTTCTATATCAAATAGAATGGCTCCCATATAACCTCAAATGCTATTCAATCTATAGACTATGCAACATTTATATGCGGCTTTTGCCATTGCCGCCGCTCGCCGTTAGCCGCTCACCGCTCCAGCTTCGTGATGGGATCTAGGCCGCTCGTCGCTTGAGCTTCGTGATGGGATCTAGGGTTTTTCTTTCTCTCTGTGGCTTTTCTTTTATTTTTTTTCTTTCTCTAGAGCAGTGCGCTTATGAGGGAGTGAGGGAACGAAGGGTTGTTACACGGGTTAGGATTTTTGTTATACGGGTCAATAGGTCAACCCGAATTGACCCATTTAATAAATGAGTAAATTTGGGTTGACCCGTTTATGACCCGACCCATATAATTTGACCCGTACCCATTATAAACGTGTCGGGTCGGGTCGGGTTAATGGGTCGGGTCATAAATTGCCACCCCTATTATAACAACTAACAGGCCACATGTTAACAGTAACATTAACAATTAAACAGTAACCTTCACAACAGATCCATAACCTTAACAACTAATGCATAACCTTAACAATTAATAAATTTTCTTGACAACTACAAACTAACGTTCACAACTTAACAGTAACTTTCACAATTAACACAACATGCAACATTATAAACAACTAAATTTTACGGAAAAAAATATTTTTTTGTGTTGTCGTATGCGTCTCTTTAGGTCCTCTCTGTAGATCCAGGAGCGCTCTAGAGGCGTCGTCGGTGCCGGTGTTGCCCTCTAGATCTGTGTGCTGGACTGGCTTTTTTGGGTTGAGCTGGACTTGTGGGATGAGAATGACTGGCTGCGATGTCCTCTAGAACATCAGCAATTGATGTGTCAGCTTCAGTCCACTCTGCTGCGCTCGAAGGTCTTTTTGAGACGATGTACTGTGACACGTCGTCGTCTTCGCTGAAATCGACATGGATGATTGCTTTGGGAGTTGACTTGCCGACCATTTTTCCGATCAGGTTAAGCTCTGGAGTGGGTTAATTTAGGGTTAGAGTTTTGTAATGGGGATGGTAGGTTCGCTTAGACAAAAGAGAGATGAGATGACACGATTGACGGGGAATAGTATTGATAAGAGGGAGTTGGTTAAATCAAAGGGCATTTTAGGGAAAGTTTTTTGTTTTTAAACATCGGGTCACGTGGGGAAGGGTTTTGAGGGCTAAAGGAATGTGAGATACTGTTGTGAGGGCTTTGGGATTGTTGAAAAAGTCTTG